TTCTGTTAAAATAGTTTTGTTTAGCATTCATTGTAGAAATAGGTTTTTAGGTTTGTAGTTCATGTGGTGAGACGTACTATCACCTAAGTCATTCCTTCATATTAAGTTCAGAAGTTGGTAGCTGGAAATACTTACGTTTTACATTTGAAGTCGTTCTTTCTTTTTTTTTTAGGTGTTTTCAGTTTTGTATTATTTATATATTTATTTCTGTGTTGCTGTGTTTACCCAAAACACTGAAACTTGACATACGAGGGGGGAACTCACAGTAGATATGTGGTATTCAAGCAACAGCAATCCCTCTCTACTTGCATTACTACTTCCATACTTTCACTTGAGAGTACATTCCTACAAATAGTGGCTCCCCCCGATGGTCCGCAGGAAACCAAACCTGGCAGTTATCTATAATCTTTTTTTTTGAGTGTGTACTTATGTACCTCACATGACTAATAATGCATTAAAACGACTACACTTGTCTCTGCTGTTTGTTGACTGCATGTCGACTGAGGTTTCGATAGAACTCTATTGTACAAAGCTATTGCATTCTTCTTATAATAAACTCCTTCTTCTGTCAGTGCTCTAAATCTCGTGTTTTTCCCCAGACACAGAGCGACTTTAACAGCTGCACAGGCTCATTAGATGTGAAACAAGTTTCAACTCGTATATGTATAATACAACAAATATTTCAACAGGCTCAGCAGAGTATCGCCACCTCCAATGTACAGATGGACGGGGGTTCCAAAGCTTTTTGCTGTCTGTAAACCATGTAGATCAGCCACACAGCCATCACATCTGATGCTGTCTGTAAACCATGTAGATCAGCCTTAATGCATTTCAGACTAAGAACTAATTTTCAGCATTTTCTCACCCAGTTTAGGCCACTGCTATAAACTGCTATGAAGGAATATTATTATATGGCGCAAATGATATTCATATCAGATTACCTGCTCGTTCAAACACCCTTTTGTGTATTTTGTTTAGTGCTTTTTTTCTTGTTGAGCAGGTGGGTGTTACCCTCCAGCAGCACCTGAGAATATCTTTCACTTCCTGATTTCCAATTGTTAGGAAAGTCTATATGCACAAACATAGAACTCCCCCCATAAAAATCCATCTTGAGAGCCACATCTTCTTCAGACATACTTGGAATCATCAAGTCTATTTTATACCTTTATTGACCAATGTCATCTTATCCCTTAGCCTTTCCTCCTGAGTCAAGAAAATAAGAACTGATAATAACAGAAGTTAACATTCACAGTCCCGCGACCCGGTAACAGATAAGCGGATGAAAATGGATAGATGGATGGATGGGTGGAACATTCACAGTGGAAGTCAGAAGCTAAAAATAGAGCAGTTGCTCTACACCAACTCTTAGTTGTTATATTGAGTCTGTACAGGGTCAACATTTTGGTGTTAAACCACATGGTCTGGCAAATGGAGTTATGCTTAAAAAACAACAACAAAAAAAATGGCAGGCTGTCAAACTATTAAAATATTGTACAATTAACCAGGATTGATCAATAATTAATCTGAATTAATTAGGATTAATTTAGATTAAATCAACATTTACTTATGACAAAAGTGTGTGTGGATGGATGTGTTTCACATCTGATCTTATTTGTGTCCAATCCAGATGATGAAATTATTATAATGGAAAAATACAAAGATATAACTCATACTTTAGCTTCATGGAGCTCTGTGGATTTTAATTAATAATCTGCATGTTAATGGTGGCTGGTAGAAAACTTTGGTGAATCCTCAACAACATTAATCAGTCTGCAACTCGTTGCACAATTGTGTCAGTCATTTAAAGTGAATGATAAATGAACATGACCAAACTCAATGCCGATGTCCGAACTGGTGCATTTGAAAATTGGATGATTGACTCTTATTGACGTGCAGAGAGTTCTCATATATCTGCATGTCCGGTGTTTGCTCTGGATACTGAAAAAAAACAAACAGATAAACAGATAAATAAAAAAACACATGTTGGGCAAGTGTTCTTCATGATGCAGGTTGCTGTTGCACTAAGTCTGTGGGTCTATAGATACGTATCAGTCTGTGAAGTAGGAATGCACGTGCACAGAAGCAACTGATAACCTGAATCTGGTCCCACCCTAATGAAAGCTGTGCTCCTTTATGTACAGCAGGGGTGGCCAACCGGTCAAAAGGCTAAGAGACACAAAGTGTGTTACTGCAGAGCCGCATGATATTCATGGGCACACATGAACAAAAAAATAAACACTCTTTTAAAACTTCCTGTATACATGTTTTCATCTTTGTGAATTGGGTTTTCCCTAAGAAATTTGCATCAAAGCCCATTGGCATGAGAGTAAAAAAAGCACAAACATAAAATTTGACATGAACGTAAGAGTCGCATGAAACTGGGCAAAGAGCCGCAGGTTGGCAATGCCTGATGTACAGCTTTACTTCCTGTTCTTGATTATGGATAGCCACTAAGGCCAATAGTGCATACAATAATTGAATACATTTTCCCAAACAGCATTTAACAAATTTTAGCCATTTTTAAAAACTCACTCATGTCAACACGCTTGTCAAAAGGTTGAAGATTCATCAAACTGTTGTTGACATTGTTGATGAATATGAATACTTTTTACAGTGTGTATTTACCATTGCTGTGGTGCGAGCTGGAGTCGTTTGCCTATGAACGAGAGCAGTGTTTAATTTACTACGGTGGTTTTAGGCAGAAATTATGAATGCAAAGTCATCAGCAGATGAAGGAAAACACACTCACTCTGACTGCCGACTGTAAAGTCTTCGCAAAAGTGCAAAAGATATTATGAAGATCAGTAAACACACGCAAGGAACCACAATGGCCACAGGAAACACAAGTCTCCCCCATTCCACAGCTCCGAGGCGGCCTGATGCTGAAAATAAAAAAATAAAAAATTAGAAGGAGATAAAAACTATAATCTGATGTTTGGTAATTCACTTGGTCCTCAAGTTACCTTAAGATATTTTGTTTTTCAGTTTTTACTAAAACACTCAATTTCAAATGTTAAGGATAAGGCTAACAGGGAGTAGTAGTAGTATTACGGTAGTTTATCAGATGCAAATGTGTGTCCAGTTCAGAGTATTCGATTGCTCTTTCGTCTTTGTTTTTAGTGTCTCTCTCAGACAGTGGTTCTAAAGCCGATACATACATATAATTAAATAATTATCTTGTATTTACAAAACAGTCTGCTCTAACATGTTGAGTAAAGACCAGCAGACTCCCTGTAGGAGTGACTACATTCCTCTTCTGCTCCATTGACTCCCTCTGCCCACTGAGCTCCTGATCAGACTCACCCGTCAAAGTCAGGCTCCACGTCTGCTTCCCTACTCCTGCGATTGTGGCGAATTCACAGGTGTAGTTTCCTGTGTTGAACTCCTGGGCTCTGTCTATGACCAGAGTGTACGGATCACTCTCATACAGAGACATGTTAAACTTCAGGCTCTTTGCAGCCTCAGTGAAGTGCAGTCCGAACTCCTGGCTGTAGGTGATCAGGTGAACTCTGTTCCTGCTCCATTTGACCTGGGTGCTCATCGACACATTACAGTGCAGCGGCACTGTGCTGCCCACTGGCACTGAGACGTCGGTTCCTTCTGAGAGACGATTAAACAACAGTCGCTAACATTACAGTTCAAGAAAAAATATGTTTGTTTTTTTCTTGGTTGTCTCCCACATGGGGGTGTTCAATCCCCACCAAAAGTAATCTCCTGTCAGGTCTGTCTGTTCCCTGTTTCTGCTGTCTGCTGTGTGGGGTTATCAGTGTCATCACATTAATCAAAAGGGTATAGGTGGATGATTACATACAGTAGGTGGTTAAGGAACAACATTGAAGATCAAACCAGACGCAGTCATTTTTTTTTTCTTGGCCCCTTATCTTCAACAGTTATATGTTCCTGCTGTGTTTGTATATACCACTAAGCGTTGAAGGGCAATTTTTTTATTAACCGTCAACATGTGAAGAGGAACTCACTGAGCCGCTGCTACAACTGTTTTCTAAAACTCCAAACTGTCAAATGACTCTTGTGGTGGTGATTTTAGACCAACCAACCACATGAACAACAGTTTCCTCTACTCACACTGATCCCATGGCAGGAAGTGAACGATCATCGCCAAAAGAAAAGAAAAAAGAAAAAGTAAAATCTAAACAGTTCCACTTCCACACTGGTAACAGAATCTTTCAACAGGTGTGTCCTCAGCTTGTAAAGCGACCCCATGCTTTTAAAATGCACAAAAATGAAAGTATCAAACCACGGCTGTAGCCGAGTCAATACTTTTTTTAAAGATCGTGAACATATTTTTACCACATGATAAACCTCCTCCACTATGAGTCTCCATTCATTTTAAATTATGGTACTAAAATTATTATTTTAACATACTTACCCGCACATGAAGTAATCCATAACATGGAACATATTAGTGATAACATCTTGTTTGGGCACAGACATCGATATAAGCCTTCCATCACACCTTAAAATAAATGTAATTTCACTGTAAAAAAAACCCCAAAACATTTCCACTCTTATTTGTATGAGCTTCAAATACTCAATAGAAAATGGTGCGGGGTACATTTAAAAATGCACCCACTCTTTCTTACCAACTCTCTGTGTCGTTAGACGTTGACCTTTGTTTTTCAATCTACACTTCCAAACTGTTGATATGATAGTAAAATAAATGTGATGTCCAGTGATAAAGACGTTGATCTGTTCGTCAGATACCAACGATAAAAGCTGCACATAGGAAATAACGTTTTCACACAGGAAGTGAAATGTCAAGGTGGGGGTTTACAAACCAGTGGCCACTGTTCTACGACATTATGTTAGATGAGAGATGCGAACAAAATTATTCCAAAATAATATACACACAGAAGGAGACATACAGTACATACATATTTATCTATTAGTTTTAGAATGCCATTCATGTCATCTCATGGCCACCAGTCTAACAAATGCAGTGCTAACTTTCCTCTCAGCTGTCAGATGACTGAATGGGCTGGAGAATCTTTGACCTATTTTTAAATCACATTACAACAGATTTCCTGAACATTTGCTCCAGTTTCACAAATTGATGAAATAACACACATATTATTTGGGCGTCTTTAAGAAGGTTTTTTAAACTCTTTACCAACAAAATGTTTGACAAACATCTACATACAGTAATGCTATTCAAACCCACGCCCATTGTCACTTTAGCCTCCTGTATAATTACTGTTATACTGGTAAAAGACAAGACAATGTCAGCTTTGTTTTCCATCCTGTGAGGGTAAAACAGAAGAGTCACCTCTGTTCTAATGAGAGTCTGTACTACCCACACACAAACACAACTCCTATGAACTCCAGCCATGCAATTTGATTCCTCTAAACTGAAACACTGGGCTTTCTGGTTTTCACCTACAGCTATGAAAGTCTGAAGCCTGTTTTTCCTTTAAAGAAATAAAAAGGAGAGAGGTTCTCTCAGTAATGTAATACTGCAAAATTATCTTCAGGGAAAGAAATGTAATACTGTGACAACATTGTCAACTTTACTGCAAGTTCCCTTTGGCACATTCAGTATGACTAGCCATTTTGTGTGTCTCTCACACATGGTAATATAGTCTATGAATGTTAATTCCAACCATGTGACGCCACAGGCCAAATACAGCTGACTTTCAGCTCTTCAACTAAACAACAGCTTCTTTGTCCTGAAACTATTCATTAACTGGTTCATGTTGAAGTTAATTATTTCATCCTAGTAAACACTTCCTGAAACGTATAATGCTCTCTATATGCTTTTGAGACTAGGGTCTAGTCGGTTGTTTTGTTTTTTCACTGTCTTGTGCGGCCGCAGCATCATGAGGACGTTGATCAGTGATGCCCTCTAGCGGGAAAAACACAAATACAATTCTAACTGAGAAGTGCAGGAGGATTGTTTTGTTGAATAGACTACTTTAATATATACTGTATATTAATGTGTCTTATAAATATCTTTTACCTATTTTCTTTTTAAATCACATTTTGAAGGCAGGAAACATTACACACACTACACTAATTTCCCCACACCAAGGTCAATGCATACATGGTCCAAATATGTATTTTTTTCTTCATAAGGATGCTCTCCATGTACCTGAATGTGACTGAAAAGATAACCTGACGCACACCTCTTTAGACCACATGTAACATTTTTTATTGTGTCAGTCATAATTCAAAGAAGATAATGCATCACATCTATCAGAAAAGAAGACTAAAGTTAGTAGAAATTATTATTGTTTTTTTGTTTGTTTGTTTTTTTACCTAAAATGTATCTTCTTACAGACAAACAGGCAAAAGTACCAAAAATATCTTACTATACCAGTCATATGGATATACACAAAGATCAGCATTATGCTCTGAGAAGGAAACAGTGAGACATTTCATAAGTGAGACAGTGAGACAGTTCATATGGTCATGGGTCACATTCCGCAGCAATGGATTTTGGGAGTTTTGCTAGGGCGGGGCTGTGTTTCTAGATATGAGATGATCTATTTGGCCTGTGTCATTTTATTCAGAAGAAAATAATGTTGTACAAACATATTTCAATGTGACTATGGACCATTTCACTGACAGAATAGACATCATAGACTCTAGACTATAATGCAGCATTACCTCTAGAAGGCGTGGTTCTCTTGAGATGATTGGCTAAACATGGGTCATGAGATGGCAAGTAAAAACATGTGCAGTCTCCAAGAAATGAAGAAGTCAAATTATTGAACATCCTGGGACCAAGGCAGCTATTGATTGTAAATCATACAGAAAATACCATTATCCTGCCAATGTATTGATTATGGTACGTCTGTCGACACAGGATCAGATCTGTTTTCACATTTGCATTAATCGTTCTGCCAAAACTAATTCTGTGCAGAATGTGTGTGTGCGTGTGAGGCTGTGCACACATAGGGCTTTGTTTGAGCATGTGGTTGCAGTTCAGGAGTGTTTACATACCGGTAGTTACGCAACATGATGCCCAGTGCTATAACATGGAGTTTACAATGACCTATGTTCGCAAAAACAGAGCTGGCAAGATAAACTTCATGATCACAATGGGCTCAGTTCCCCACATCAAAAATATACAATTGGCACAATGGTTCACATTTAAGAGTTATAATTGACAGAAAATGAGGAGAAACATTTGTGATAAGTATAAGATTTGATAAACTTAGTTTTTAAAAAAAGCTTTTTTAATTGTTATTAATTTTTAAAAAGCATCCTTAAATTGTAGGACTAACTTTTTTTTCTGTTTGTTGAACTTGTTATAACAATATAATGTGGGTTTTACTATTCGGTAAACACCTAAACCATCATAACAACAATAAGTACACTTTTAGAAGGGCATTATGTACAGGTTCACATAAAGTCAAGTATAAAAATTAGCTCACAGATCAGGTCAAATCTGCTTGTTTTCAATGATGGGGCATGGTTTCTTTTATTCTCTTGCCTCCCTAAATACTTTGTGCTGATGGTGCATGATCTTTATCGCCTGAATGCCTGTTTGTACAGCACCAAAAGAGGGGATTTGGCCTGAGGTCACCACTACAGTTCACTCACTGATCGAACAGAACGAGGCCGACTGTTTCGTGACCAGTAGACATCACACTACAAAGCACGAGCAGATCTAAATGAGAGAGATAGACATTTATGTTTTACACCGATTAACATTTTGGTCTACCGATCAAAAGCCAACAGTTATGAAACTAAACCTTAAAAGGAAGAACTTTTTTTTTTCTTTAAAAATATTCTTGTTCAGAGACTAAGTGAAATGTTATGAAGGGTGTAAGTCTTGTATGAATCTGTAAACTAGGTCTAAACTAACTATTCTGTAACTAAAACTCTTTCTATATATTTAAAAAGTATATTAAAACCTAAAGAGGTTTTTATCAAGTAAAACATGACCCGTCTACATGTGTCCTATTACAAAAACAAAACAAAACAAAAAAAAAAACTAGGGATATAACATTTCATTTAGATACATTCAAACTTCAGGTTTCCAGGTTAAAGCTGGGGGTAAGATTTTATTTATAGTAANTATATATATATATATATATGCACAGTACAATGGGTAATTTATGGTAGTAGTAAAAGCCGGATCAACAAAGCTGACTTGAGTCACTCTTGAGTACTTCCTCTATAATCCAACAGAGGGCACTGTTACTCTACTTGCTTCACATTGTACCCCGTGAAAGTAGACAGTGACGATGGCATATATACAGGAATGCTTTCGCACGTTTATAAATTTATATAGTTCTTAAAATGTGTCTACATAATTTTATTTCTTGCATAGAATCCCTGCAGAATCCTTAATATAAACCTGATGTTCTACAGGAACCCAGTTCGTTTCTGCTGTTCAGAGGAGAAACTAGTAAATTGTTATGCAGCTAGCAGGAAGGCTAACTCATCCAGGCTAGCCAGATAATACATCACTGCTCGGGTTTGAGAAGTGAATTAGTAAGTGAGTGGAGTTGTGTTGTTAAAAAAAAGGCAGTTAGGTCTAAGTTTTAAGACAAAACATCTAAATAGTCCTCTATGGCAGTCAAATACTTCACCAAAGTATCTGAAGTAGCCATAGTAGTAGTGCTTCGAGGTCTGGGGTTCGTCAGAATCTGAACCCCAATCATCATTGTTATGTATGTCGGAATACTAATACAAGTACTAGGGTCATGCTTCGTTCAAATAGTTTTACTCATACTCCAGCTACTAATACTCAGAACAGTTTTTCACTAGTCAGCATGTGTATTCCTACCTCATTAGCCTCATGGGTAGTTTACTGAAGTATCGTAACAATCTCAGAAGTATGTAGCTACAGTTTTTCACATCAGAGACGAAGTTGGGAGCAAGACTTACTGTGAAACATGCCTGTTATGATTCACCCAAGTTAACACGTGAAGACAGGCCACCATGGCTAACAGGCTAATGTCTACAACACAGTGGGTAGAAGTAACCTTTAAAAATAGTTATTTCACCAACATTATGTGGTAATTAGTTTATTAAAATGTGAAAATAAACTTCAAGTTCAACTTCACTGTTTAGTAGAAAGCAGGAAATATTTTATAGGTGTAAAAGCTCTGCTCACTTTCTGTTCAACTTAATATTATTTTATCCTTAGCTTCACTGATACATTGTCTATTGTAATGACAGTTTCAGAAATAGTTGTTTGTGTTTGTTTTAAAATAGCCTTCTGTTCATGAGAAATAGGAAATTGGCAAAAGAAAATAAAACTGTCTGTAGGGATTTTCCTTCTCGGTGCCTCCCTGTGGTTTGGGTTAAAGTTCACTCACACACGTCACCCTAGTACCTACAGAGCTGTGCCAACTATATAACACTGCCTTCCAGTTCAGTGCATATTTATAGAAACCTAACCCAGAGACATCCTGGTGACAGGACTTGGTATCAGTGAGTAAACAAGTGAAAACACTCGTCTCTTTATGGGTTTTTAAAAACTGTTGTGGGACATTCCTGGTTAAATCCTTAAACTGCCAATAAAACTTGGTTTGGGGGTGTTTGTGTACCAGATCTTCCAAAAATATTTTCAGATCTAGCTTCTCACATACGTACTTAAGAAAAAATCAACTCCTTCTTGCTTTACCTTCTATTCAAACTTCTGTCAAGGCTAAGACTTTCAGTGGAAAGGATCTCCCTCCTGTCTTTCCCCTCTTCTTCTCTCTTCCCCCCTCGTCTCAGGTTCATACAGTTAGATCGTCTGACCTGGCCCTGCTGCTGGCTTTGCTGAGTCTACTCAGTGGCCTGGTGTCTTCTAACGTATCTGCAGCTTCCATACCGGACTCTGTTGGACTTCCCTGTTCCCTATTTGCTCCCACCTGCTCTACCGCCACCTCCCCACCCAGAGCTTTCTCCCCCATTCCGTCTGCTTCAGCTGGATGGACCTCCACAGTGTCCTCCTCCTGTAGTATTACCCCACTTGTTTCAGTGGTCTGGGCGTAGGAGGGCAGAGTCTCATCATATACCTTAGACATATCCTCCAGGGGTAACACCTCATCCACCTTCTCCTCTAGTGCAAAAGGTGGCGTGGCTCTGCCAGCCTCCATACCCGCCTCGGACAGGGGGTAGAGGTGGGCTACGGCTTTCTCCTCCTCCAAGGGCTTGTAACCTTTTGCTCTCTGAAGGGATGATACACCCAGGGGCGACAGGTTCTTCACCTGTGGTGACAAAGATGTTGAGCCCTCAGATTGGGCTGGAGCTGGTGTTGGCTTACGAAACACGAACCTAATCTTCTTCAGACCCAAGTGACTGATCTCCACAAAGTTGAGGAAGAGTGAGACACAAGCCACTGCCAACATGAAGATAATGAAGACGGTTTTCTCGGTCGGTCTTGACACGAAGCAGTCCACGGTGTTGGGACAGGGCCAGCGGCTGCATTTGTACAGCGGCAAGATACGGAAGCCGTAGAGGAAGTACTGGCCCACAACGAAGCCCACCTCAAATAGAGTCTTGAAGATGATGTGGCAGATGTAGGTCCTTAGCAGCGTGCCCTCCAGTCGAAATTTCTTGCTCCCCTTCGTGCTTGTTTCCTTTGTCGTTCGGACACTTCCCTGATCGGGCGCCAGAGGAAGCCGCTCCTCGCTCAGCTCCTGTTGCCTGCTGAGTTCTGCCTCCTCGCGCTCCTTGCGTTTCTCCTCCATATGAACATGATGAACGGCATGGCCTACGTACACCAGAGAAGGTGTGGACACAAAGATAATTTGCAGCACCCACAGGCGGATGTGGGAGATGGGGAAGGCCTCATCGTAGCACACATTCTCACATCCAGGCTGCTGCGTGTTGCAGACGTAATCGGACTGCTCATCCCCCCACACAAACTCCGCCGCTGTGCCCAGAATGAGGATACGGAAAATGAAGAGCACTGTTAGCCACACTCGGCCGATCACCGTCGAGTGCTCGTTAACTTCCTCTAAAATATTACCCAGAAAGCTCCAGTCCCCCATGATCGGTCCGTAGCCCTACAGAGGCAAACGTGGGGTGTGGAGGTTGTAGACAGACAGAGAAAGTAGGGATGGGAGGTCAGACACAGGAGAAAAACAGGAGTGAAAAAAATGTAAGAAGAAAACTCTCAAAAATGTTTAACAATCAGACAGAAGAGTGACATAAGTTTCTACAGTTATTTGGGCAAGAAGAGTCAGAATCCAGGGGTGCTGATCTATTCTTTTAGATTAAAAAAGATCCCAATTAAAATAAAATAGAAATAAAACCTTGATAATTCTCATTGTCACAAGAGACAGACACTAACTAAAAGGAAAGGACAAAATCCTCAACTCAAAAAGAAGAAGCTCTCACAGCAACCTACGATTGAAAATAATAAATTTAAAAGTTATAATTTTTTAAGGTTACATGTCTGTTAGTGGTAGACATGAGTTAGATCAAATTAAATGGGCAACTTGCCACAGCTGCGGCTCCGACAAAGTTGAGTCCTGTCCCGTTCCCTTGGCTCCCGGCAGGAAAAAATGAACTTTTCTGTGCCTTCTCTCCAACCTAAAGCCCTGTCCTTGACGCCCGACTGAGCAGATGTGAATGAATCAGGTTTGATGGTTGGTTTTGAGTTTGCTGCAACGTTTAAGCTTGCAGCCAGACAGGCTTTATTTTCCGGGTGGCGCGCGGTGACGCAGTAGACAATAGAATCAACAAAGCAGGGATGTATCGGAGCAGGCCTCAGGCTGCCACAGCAGCCTGGACGCTGTATGACCGAAGGGCCACCGGGTCCATGACACAAGGTCTGTACCTCCATCTTTGCAAATACTGTGTGCTACAGCACAGGTGCAAAGGTGTGGGAGCTGTAACAGCATGTGTGCCTGGGACCTACACCGTTGGAGCAGAGAAGATGTTTAAAGGCAACATCCTCAGTCAGACTTGAACAATGGAGAGTCCACGTCCTTGTCTTTTAACTTTAGACATCACTGTCACAAATCTGTCTCTGATTGGCTCAACAGAAATCACTTGAATAGAATATTTAGACATCACAAAAATATTGATTTAGCCTGGAGTCTAGAGATAAGCCTAAGACACTGGATTTGGTAGTTACACCGTACAGAGGTGTAAATACAGAGGTACAGGTACAACCATCTGTTGACTAAAGAAATTCTGAACATGTGCCTAAAAAAACGTGTGCTTGGGAAAAGAAACTTTAACTATTAACTATTAACTATTGTTTTTACAAAGAGTTGTAGAACTAATATTGAATATTTAAATTTTAAATGTCAATCAATCAGACTAAGACTAAGACTAAGGACAAAAAACACATTTCTATTAAAGAACAAATCCTTATCAATCAATGTATAAAAATACATTATCTATTTATATGTATAATCAGTTATTCCTGTATTTCGTGTCATCACCTGGCATCCCTGATTCTGTTGTACTGTCACTGTATTGAGCGATGACAATAAAAAAGTATTCTGTCCTATTCTATAAACTACAGTGCACCCATAGTGAATAACCAATCGACCAGTGTTTTGTGTCAAGCGTGTGTGTGTTTTCACACCGATCACTTCACTGGAATGTGAAGAATGTAGAGCAATGAGTGAAAGGACATCATTGAACTGTGGATGTTGGACAAACAAAAGAGAGAGAAAAAACTTTAGCGGAAACTTCAAACTATGACTCAAACATGATTGATTGATGCGGTTGAACGGTTGTGCTTATTGTATTGATAAATCTTGAGAATGACAATTATCCAATTAAATCATTTTTATTTTGGTTCACTTCACACTTTGGTTTTATTGGAGTATAGTGCAGTCACCAAAGTATTAGGTCATATTTAATAAATGGAATGAAGTTAGTCTAAAAAAAAAAATCTAAATGGAACCATTTATTTAAAATTGATGTAAACACGTTAGTCCAACTAAAATACAAAAATTAAAAGGTGGAGCTGTTCCTATAATTTGTGACTTGACTTAAATGACCTGAGGCTTCAGTTTCACAAACAAAAGAAGGTACTCATACATACATACACAACAATCACTGTTTAGAGAACAACATCATTTTAAACCCCTGCTACACCTTCCATCTGAACTACAGTGAATCCTGTCAATCTTAGCATTTTAGCACGCTGCAACTGCTAAAATGCTAATCTCAACCCTCGACAAAAACCCAAACACACAACATATTAGGACATCGGCCAATTGTGCTGAAGACTGAAAGCCATTTTCCAGAGTTCTGTGGAGGCATGGCTGTGTCTCCTGACCAATGGACTCCCTTTAAAGAGCTATGTGTTAGTTTAGTGGACGGTTGCGTGCTAAGCTCTAGGGCGGGATGGTGAATGGCACCAGGATTTCAACACAAAGACATGATGTCATGACCCAGGGTGTGGAACCCATTGACCGTGGGCACTGAAGCGTGAGGCCAGATCAGACGTCCGAACCACGACACCAACTGGATCTAATCAGAATGATAACAAACGTATCGTACGGTGATCAGGCGGCGGTCAATTGGTGCAATGCATTTCCTGTTTGATGGCCTCATCACTACCGCCTACAGAGAAACTCACTGGGCCGACACGTAGCATTGATTCACTGAACGACCGTGTCAATCATCAATCTCGATTTCAGAAGCAGTTTTAGGCTTCGTCTGTTGGCTCTGTGTTTGAAGAAAAAAATATTTTAACCAATAACTCACATACGTACTTGGTGCTAATGGCAGAAGTACAGATTTTTAGGTGTCAACAGAGGATACAGTGTTAGCTACACAACATGGAACGGTGTTTTTAGTTATTCATTGGCTGATAGTGAGGGAGAAACCAAGGACTAGAAAGACTCTTAAATCATATATATAATTATTAGTATAACAATGATAATTATTATAATAATTATTACGTTCCATAAAACTGGGAAGTGCATTTTTTAAATTAACATTTTTTTATATTGCTGGACATCAAAGTGTCTGTTGGAAAACATTCTGAAATGCTATGAGCTCACCACTTAGAACACTTCACTTTAAATGGAATATTCCGAGATCACAGCTCGATGATACGCAGCACTGGACCTGGAATAAACTGAATGTTAAGACCAGAGCAAACCAAACACAAAACCTATTGACAATTCATCATTTCGCCCAATGCTTAAATAGAAAAAATAGTTATAAAGAGTTTATGGTTTCCACTAATGTACTTGTGCCTGGAGCATTAGATCATGCGCTGAGATCGCTAAAATACTGTCCTTGTTTAATGTACAGATTCTATGTCTCGACCTCAGGAGGGTGTTAGTCTAAAAATGCGGTGAGTTAAATCTGAGTTAAATTTAACTGTGGACTTTCATCCCTTTTGGCTACTTTATGTAAACCTGCTTTTGATACAAAGGAGTGAAAAAAAAACAATTTATTTAAATAAATCATTCATCATCAACAGCATTTTTAACAAAAAGAAAAATGAAACAAAAAGCAACATTACATTTTTTAATTATTATTTATTATTGAAGATTGTCCATGGAGTTCTACTATTGTTTTATCTTATAATAAAAGATGTCATCTGCATATAAATAATAGGAAACATCCCAATACTGACTACTTGTCTATACCAGGTACAATAAAAAAACAGAACGGGCCCATTAACTGAGCCCTGTGGTACCCCACATGTCAGGAGGGCTGTCTCAGGGAAAAGTCTGATTCGCAAATACAATAAACTTCTTTCAGTGACGTAAGATTCAAACCTTTCAGTCTGTTTGTCCTAATATTATGAACAGAAGCAGAGGAACGATATAATTAAACCAAAAAGAGGTTTTCACCAGCGTGTCATGACTGTTTTCACACAGGTCTATATTAATAAGGAGAAACCGTTATCATTGCACTGCTATGGCCATGGCCTGGGGTAAAATCCCAGGATATTTCTAGATCTGCTCTGTCTCTGGTACCTTTTCAAACTGCACAAACATCACATGAAATGTCCATGTCACACAAGTTTGGACGTAAGACAAAAAGAGGGACGCATTCACACTGGCTTTACAGAGATGGTATCAGTCATGCCCTCCACTGATCCGTCCTGACCTGAGGGCAGTGCTGAGTCTCATGACTGAGCACAGCACTGAGAACCTCAATGGCAGCGGGCTTATGCTTAAAGACAGAGGCCAACTGTTTTCAACACACTTGTTTATTTAGGCTGAAAAATGAGTCCATACAAATTTGTGCCCATACGTCTGAGTTTAATCTTTTTGTCTTTGTGTTTCGGTGACCGACTGCTCTGGTGGCAGAGCGTTACTTTTTGTTTGTGTTATTTTTCATGAGTCATCAGTCACCTTTACAGCCAAGTCCTCTGTCGTTAACAAAACTATTATAGTAACAATGACCATATTTAACCATATTTGTTACTTTTGCATTGAAAGCACTTTGAAAGTTTGACTTGACTGAAACTTGAGTGAAGTCAGGTTTTAGTAAGGCATTAGAACATTTTACTGCAAACTTTAAGAAAAAATGATTGTTTACCAAATACCTAGTGTAGTGTACATCTGGCTGAAAGGTGAAAGACTTGATGACTAACAAAACTACAACAGAGCTCAGCAGTCATTTTAAATGGTGAGAAAATTGGACTTTTTAGGCTCACATTTCTGTTTCAGGTTTCCTCTTCCACGTCCTGTTACAACAACAGTGCCTACGGTTCACCTTCCTCTGAGGAGACTCAGATCATTATGTTCTCGTTTGTGTTGATGAAAATTCTTGTGACTTTTCTCAGGGTACATTTGGCAAACATACAGTACACAGTGTTTGGCAAATGTCATAATAAAATATGACAATAAATGCTGATCCTCTTTTTAAAAACATCAGTCTCTTCAGAACATAACAGAATTGCACATTGAATGTATTTTTATATTTTCAACATTTGAATGCGGTCAGATTTTTTTTTTTTTTACGAGGTGCCTGAACGAGCTTTGGAAAATCGCAAAAACCTTACGATAAATACAAATAAATACTGGAAACTAAACCGCTGCTCTGAAGTGATGTGCAATTTTGATTGGCCGGTTGTGTCAACTGGTGTCTTTTGCTGGCTCATAGAAGCGAAGTGAATGTCAAATCATTTCATCAGGTTTGGTTTATTTTGATTGGATTTTACCATGTTTTTTTTTGTGGTCAACACAACGGTAAAGGTAATGAGAAAATGAGTCACAGCTGTTGGAGACACCTCAAATCTGAAACCCTTTGACATTATAACGTGTTCTAGAACCTTCTAAGAAACTCTTGTACCAAAGGTATGTACCAGAGTTACTGAGTCCAGGATCAACAAATGTCAGTTTCATCAATAGTTAATTATCCTGTTGTTTCACTGAGGATGTTTGTCACACCGTTCAGATGTGACATTCCTCTGCAGGTTTAAATGACCCGGAAACCAGCTAACCTGCTGCAAGACTAGTAGGAGACTAGGAGACTACTGAGCATGGGACAAAGAGAGAGAGAGAAGGGATGGGGTGAGAGACGAGGCGTGAATTGTTCTCACTGGTCTGAGAGGAAATGGAAAGGCAACTT